GAGCAACACCCTGCACAAAGGTGTTAAGTGCAAGCCTCGAGTTGACAAGTTTAAAGGACCTTCAGTACTTTGCAAATTGCAGATTGGCTTAAAAACTCTTGCAAGCTGAGAAACTAGGGATAGGATAAGAAGGAAGATCTTCTCATTGATTAATGAGTAGGGACAAAAATCACTGATGAAACTGAATTATAGTAATTTTGTACTCTGGACTGTATTACAAAATAAGTGAGGTGGTTTGGGTTTTTTTTTTGTTGTTGGTTGGTTTGTTTTGGGTTTTTTTTTTAACATTCAAGACCCCTAAAGAAATTGCTTTAGAATGATAAATAATGAGAAATCACACTGTAGTTTCCACAAGGTAGGAAGCAGAAGTGCTATGCAAGGCAAAGTATTGTGGAAAACAAAACTTGCAGCAGCAGAGCACTAATGTGATACTCCACTTTACCAGTATTCCTATCTGATGTGGAGCAGGCTGCTTAAAGCCAGCTTTTCATGGGTATGCATCACCTGCATGTTCTCCATCTAATGGTTGTCTGAATTAAGATCCTGTAGGAGTAGCCTGTGGTGCAACTGAAGCCACTGGAAAAGCTGTGCTTTGAAGCTGGGGGGGGGGGAACCAAAACCCACTGCATTACAGTAAGCATTCCCAGAATTGGCACCTAACATTACAGCATTACCTTTGACAGGGTTTTTTTTGCCTCAAGTTTACCATCTGAAAATGGAAACTGCTTGTTAGCCGTGCAGGACTATCATGATAATTGCATATCTCTGTACTCTATGTGCACTTGTGAAACAGTTCAGAAATACTACTGTTTTCACAGCAGGATGTGAATAACATCCAATAAATCAAGATTAGGGCCACATATAAGCACTAATGAGGCTACTTATTTAAAGTTAGGATCTTATGGAAAAAAGCTTGCAGTCAGAAAAATAATAAAAGTTAAGGATCAAATTATTAACAATATGCACTTCACTTCCAGTTTGTCCTAGCTTTTGAATGTTTGAATTGGCAGATTTATTTTAAAATAACTGAACTTCTGTTATCAAAAGAAAAATAAACAATCCATGAGAGCCAAACTGAATATGTAGTAGGCAGGATCAAAAAATTCATATTACCACAACAGCCTACCTCTTCCTAACAGAGTAAACATTAGCAGCAGTAGGTTTTATGTGAAAGAGCAAAATGTGGAAGCTGTTGAAATCTAAGAAACACTTTGCCCAGGAGTTTCACAGTAGTTTGGCAACAATACAGCAACAGTGAGATTCTAATCTTTGGCTCCAGCAATCAGTGTGATTTAATCAAGACTTCTTTGCTCTCCCTAACCTTGACCTTTTTGTTCTTTTCAATCTCTGTGTTCTCTCTTTCCTGCTCTCCTTTTTCATCACCTATTCCATCCCATTCTCCACCCCAGATTTCCCCTCCATTAGGCTTCTACCTTTGATAACCATTTGTCCAAC